CACATATAGTTAAAAACAATGACACCCTGGGGCAGGGCCAGTTTTGACCCCCGGGCTTTTATTTGAACATACTTTGTAGATATTTACTTAAAGATGTTTCATGCTTAATATCTAAACTCTAGCTATTTGGGTTTTTTCATAGAAGATTTTTAAGTTTTTGCTATACACATATAAGGAAAATCAATGACCCCCCCCCATGGGCGGGGCCAGTTTTGCCCCCAGGGCTTTTATTTGAACATACTTGGTAGACACCCATTAGAACATGTTTCATGCTAAATATCTTAGCTCTAGCTCTTTGAGTTCTTTAAAAGAAGATTTTTTAAGTTTTTACTATATGCATGTAGGGGAAATCAATGACCCCCTGCGGCGGGGTCAATTTTGACCCCAGGGCTTTTATTTGAACAAACTTGGTAGACATCCATTAGAATATGTTCCATGCTAAATATCTTAGCTCTAGCTCTTACGGTTCTTTAAAAGAAGATTTATTAAGTTTTTACTATATGCATATAGGGAAAATCTATGACCCCCTGGGGTGGGGTCAATTTTGACCCCAGGGCTTTTATTTGAACAAACTTGGTAGACATTCACTAGAAGATGTTTCATGCCAAATATCTAAGCTCTAGCTCTTATGGTTCTTTAAAAGAAGATTTTTTAAGTTTTTACTATATGCATATAGGGAAAATCAATGACCCCCCGGGGTTGGGGCCAATTTTGACCACAGGGCTTTAATTTGAACAAACTTGGTAGACACTCACTAGAAGATGTTTCATGCTTAATATCTTAGCCAGAGATCTGCCAAGAATTTGAAAGTACTGGGCCCTGGGCCCACTTGGTCTGAAAATGATGGGCCATTTTTACCAAAGTATGGGCCTTGGGAAAATAAGTAAAAGTTGAAGATAATTGAATTTCCCCGGTAATAAAACTTAAATCATATTTTATGACAAGTGGTTCACTTATAATTCAGTACTTTACCAATAATTAAAAATTATGCCTACATGGTAACTTTCTAACTAATATTAATTGCAGGCAAAAATGAAAATATTTTTTAAATGGCTGCTCAAAAATTTGATATGCAAATTTATTCACATAATTGCTGGTTCTTACTTGTAATGTCTTATATTGTGCATTATCCATTTAATTGTTCCTGCTTTGCACCAAATGTCCCTTACCACTGTATATTGACAAATTTTACTGCCCCTTGTATGCCTCTGTGTAGACAGCATACATCAAAGACATTTGCCGACCTTTTGATCATGAAAAAAGTCATGCACAATGTTTCTCTGATTGGTTAATCACCCTGTCAAACATTCTGATGACGAAATATACATCTTTTTTTACACTTCATCAGCCAAAACTTGCGTGAACTTGAGTGCCCTTAGGGTTGATCAAGTTGAACACCTGTCAGATTATACTGTAACTTACAGCATTTCTTAAAATAGCAACACTTTTTTCAGTTACCGATAATCATTTTAAATATTAAGTAGTTGTATAATTTGTTTGTTTGTTTTATTGGATTAAATTTACGGTAGTAGAAATGAGTATCTGTGTGGGAAAGGGATTATGAGAAGAAATGCGGTAAGTAGATAACATGGACAAAAGCTATAGGGGAATGGATAAACTCAAGAATATGCGTAATTACAGGAGCATGGGTAACATGTTGCTGTTGGTACCAGTTTTGACTGGATGACTAAATAACCCAGCAGACAGTTTTGTTTTCTTATAAGTCTGGCACAGATTTTAGATGCGCCCATGGCCCTTTGCTGCCGATTTTCCTGCGCCATTCTCATTTTTTTAGCGCCAATGGCGCAAAATCGCGTCCTCGGCAGATCTCTGTCTTAGCTCTAGCTCTTTGGGTTCTTTAAAAGAAGATTTTTTAAGTTTTTACTATATGCATATAGGGAAAATCAATGACCCCCTGGGGCGGGGCCAATTTTGACCCCAGGGCTTTTATTTGAACAAACTTGGTAGACATTCACTAGAAGATGTTTCATGCTTAATATCTAAGCTCTAGCTCTTACGGTTCTTTAAAAGAAGATTTTTTAAGTTTTTACTATATGCATATAGGGAAAATCAATGACCCCCCTGAACGGGGCCAATTTTGACCCCAGGGCTTTCATTTGAACAAACTTGGTAGACACTCACTAGAAGATGTTTCATGCCAAATATCTAAGCTCTAGCTCTTAGGGTTGTTTAAAAGAAGATATTTAAAGATTTTTCTTTCGGTTGCCATGGCAACCAGAGTTCTGCATGGAATTAAATTCTTTGAACAATTTTTAAAGGTGATCACCATAGGAACATTCCTGTGAAGTTTGGATGAAATTGGCTCAGTGGTTTATGAGGAGATGTCATTTAAAGCAAAAGTTTACGGACGGACGACGGACGGACGACGGACGGACGGACGGACGCCGGACGAAAAGCGATCACAAAAGCTCACCCTGTCACTTTGTGACAGGTGAGCTAAAAACTAGGGAAAAAGTAGGGCATTTTTTTACCAAAAAGTAGGGCAAAGTAGGGATTTCTGATGTTAAAAAGTAGGGATAAAGTAGGAATTTCTTACCGTTTTATTTAAGAATTAGCAAAACATACCATCACCAAGACCAAATCAGGCTGTATGTATCTTCAGCTCAGTCCATGCTTGAAAGAATGTGAGGCACCTCAAAGCCAAGGCACCATGAGCAGAGCTGCATCAGTACTAAGGTGTAGTACTTAAGTACCAGTACTTGCCAAGTTTTGCAGTACCATTACCAGTACCAGTACTTGATTTTAGCTTGGTACTGCAGTTCCAGTTCTTTTTGGGGGGAAGTAATTAAGTACCAGTACCATTACTTTAATATATTCATCAAAGTTTGAATAAATACACAGTGTCATTCTAAATAATTGCAAACATTATTCAACAAAGAAATAAAATCATTTACTTTAAAGTTGACATTGCATTTTTACAACTTAAATGAACGAACATACTTTTTACAAACAATAATTACAACATATATTCATGTCATATGTTATTGTTGAGTAACCATTCAACTGTAATACAATGCAATAATTTTACATTTTAAACCCACCAGTCTTTTTGTTGCCTTTCACACCTTTACACCTCTGTTCAATTTATACCAATGTAAAACTTTTTATGGTGCTAACAATATCACTTGAAATAGGATTATTTAGAATAGAAGTAATTAATTAGTGTTTATTTTGCTCTTTTTTTACTAGTAAATACATTGTAATAAGATTGCAATAAGGATTTTTTACCAGTAAAGAGTTATTGACTCTGTTTATCTCAATTTAATTTTACTTTAAGTCTTTGGTGCTTTTTTATGATGAATACTATGTTAACATTTGAAGGAATATTGCAGCAAATTATTTATAGATTTGATAACTTACTTTTCCACAACAATAAAATAATACATGGAATTTACAGCTTTACTATATGAGTAAAAATAATGACATTTTTATCAAAACCAAAAATACTGCCTTGTAATGCAATAGCAGTACTACTTTTTAAAGACAGTAATGCAGTACCAGTAGTAGCAAAATTTTGTAAGAGTAATTTAGTATCAGTACCAGTACTTGCAAAATCGCTGCAGTACATACTGCAGTACCAGTACCAGTAATGCAGCTCTGACCATGAGTCTTTCAAGGATGGACATCACAAGGAGACACACACACGCCTGAACTATTAATCATTTGCAACTGAAAATACAACTGAAATACCATTTTAAATATCTTCTTTTTTCATTTCATTTCAAATTGAAAAAGTAGGGATAATAGGGCTATTTCAGAAAAAAGTAGGGCAAAGTAGGGATCAAAAGAAAAAAGTAGGGAAAAGTGGGAAAAGGAGGGACCAGTAGAAAGCCTGAGTAAGCTTTTAGCTCTTTTCCCAGGAAGAGGGTGGGTCGATTTCCTACAGTAATCTAGGTCAGGGATCAGCCATTAAGAAAAGATGCTAAATATATGCATATTTTGCCCAAAATACATATTTTCCACTTTCCTAAGAATAATTAGATATTTTTACATTTTGTCCATAATATCAAAAGTAAAAAAGTAGTAAATTAAAGGATATATAAACACATAGGTAACAAACCACTATATTTTACTGTTTTTTTTCCCTTGGTTTAACACCACTATATTTTTCCCCTTTGGTGACACTCATTTAAATATTTTCAGCAATGCCTAGGTCTCAGAGGACCCACCCAGATCAAATATATAGTGAGGCAAAACGTCTTGTGACCCAGGGCTATTACATACGTAAAGCAGCTATTGAATTAGGCCTTGCTTACACCACTGTACAGAACCATATCGATGGGAAATACAAGGGTTATATTACAAAATTTTGGGAAGAGTGTATGTTAAAGCCTGTAGATGAACAAATTCTGATAAATTATGCAACATTCATGGCATCAAGAGGCTGTCCTCTTTCTAGATTATTTTTTAAAAAATGTTGCAAGAGAGATTATTATCAGTCGTGGAGGTGATAAACGCATGGATCCCAGTAAAGGATCTCAAATAATTCATTTCTATTTTAATTTTTATTCACATTTCTTTTAAATATAAACTCCAAATTTTGTCATACAAGTACTAGTTTAAATATTTTTTTACATTATCATGTCAAAATTAGCTGATCGACGACGTGTCCATTATCCTAAGAAAATTTAAAATTTGGTGGTCTATGACCTATGTTGTTATTGTTATGTTTAATGGTTGCTCCCTAGCTTAAACTGAAGAGTGTCTGGTGATATTTTTCAACGGAAAATATTACTCATACGGGGCAAGTTTAATTTGTTGGGTGTAAGTTTACAATAAAATTGATCGAGCACATGTCCACTGAGTCTATATTAAATTTAATCTGTTAATATAATAATATAATTCATAAGGGCCTGTACAGCTAGCCACTCCCATTCATTTAATTTTTAAAGAACATGGATAATTAATGTTCATATCAAGTTATTTTTAGCTTGGAATTTGGTGCCAATTTATAACATTTTAGGATGAGAAAAACTTACTCATTACAATGAAATTTTCTAATCTTAAAATATCCTCACTGGCTTCAGTTTTTCCTTGTAGGTACGAAATCAATTTTCTCAGACCGATGAGCTGAAACAAGCGAGTGGAAAACCTGCACAGACAGAAAAATCTACTGTGGATTCCGGAAATCTTTTCCCTTTCGCTGAGGCAACACAAAAATTAATCAAAACTGGGCAAGCGGGATCGTAGATTGCAGCACAGTCTTTACGGTCATCATTTTCATATTTCATTAAATATTGAAGTAAACTTTCTTTTGCCGCCATTTTGAGATTGAGAAGCCTACTTATCGACGGTCACCGGGCTACGGCATTGCACGGTATCTAATGCCGGATAATTTACAGTGGCTGAGCAGCCCATGATCTGGATGGGGATTTCAGGATTGCCTTTAGAAAAACCGAGACCACCTGTCATAAGTGTCATTAGTAGAAATTATCTAACTCCTGCACTTTGTTGCAGATGTGTTTCATGTTATATAAGATTTTTTTAGAAAATTAAAAAAGAAATAGACTTGTATTTTTTCTGACCAAGTTTCTTTTATTGTTTGATGGTTTCGGAATATTTTTTATTTACAATAACGTGTACACACTTCCTTAAATAATGATTTATTAAATCATATCAAAAGTATATTATACAGTTACACCTTATTAGTCCCCTACCGGTTACCCTCCGTCCGTCTGTCCATCCGTCAGTCCGTCTGTCAGTCCGATAGTCCGTCCCTCCACAAAACTGGATCCCGCGATAACGCAAAAAGTACTGGAAATATTTTTATGAAACATGATATATGGATAGATGGCAGTATGGAGATTATACACGTCTTTTTCTTTTCTTCCCATGTTGAAAATTCTGGTTGCCATGGCAACAAATAGACTGAAAATATGGCAAATTTTACACATAAACTGGATCCAGTGATAACGCACAAAGTACTGGGAATATATTTATAAAACTTGACATATTGGTAGATGCTGGAACATACGATACGTACATCCCAGGTAGATGGCAGTCTGGAGATTATGCACGTCTTTTTCTTTTCTTCCTATGTTGAAAATTCTGGTTGCTATGACAACAAATAGACTGACAATATGGCAAATTTAACACATAAACTGAATCTAGTGATAATGCAAAACGTACTGAAAATATTTTTATGAAACTTGAAATATGGGTAGATGGCAGCCTGGAGATTATGCATGTCTTTTACCTTTTCTTCCGATTAAAAAAAAAATTGGTTGCCATGTCAACAAATTGGCTTAAAACATGGCAAATATAACAATATTTGGTAATTAGTCAAAAAGAGCTGAGTATTTTTATGAAACTTAAATTTTGGATAGATGGTAGTATGGAAATTATACACATCATTTTAATCTTTGACTATAAGGAGTATATTGAGAGCTGTCATACTTAACAAATGTCGACAGCCTCGTCAAGATTTCTGATTCTAGTTTTTTTGGCTTTTACACTATATAAAGTTCTTTTATTTCTTAAGGTATTTATTTCAAACTTCAAATATATCTTTCAAGTCATCAACCACATCATATGTGACAAGGTTTACAACTCTAGCACAAAAATTATCAGAATTGCCTCCCTTGTACTTAGAATTTTCATGAAAAAAAAGTTTTTTTTAAACTTCTTTATTGCTTAATGTATCTTCTTTAAACTTCATATATATGTTTCTTATTATCACTCAAATCATTTGTGAGAAGGTCCAATACTCTAGCAAGACTATTTCTAGAATTATTGTCCCCCTTGAACTTAGATTTTTTTTCGAGAAATTGGTATGTTTTACTCCGACTTCTTCATTACTTATAGGATTTACTTCAAATTCCCACATCATATATGACAAGGTTTATAAATCTAGTATCCATATTTCCAGAATTATCTCCTCCTTAAACTTTCAATTTTCTTATTCATTCTTTTAACTTTCTTTTACTTCAAATTCAAAATAAACATTCATTATAAACAGCTTTCATTACTAATTTTTCTTTGTTAACACTCATATCATGTATGACGTCTTGCATCTTTATTTCAAGAGTTATCTCCCTCTTTAAGAAATTTTGCTTTTTTAAAAATGTTTATATTTTGGTAAACAGGGATGTTTCAAAAATTAATTTTAGAGTGTCCTTCAGTCCGTCTGTCTGTCTGTTCATAAAAGCTGTTTCCCTGTGATCACTTTTAAAGAACTTTTCCAACAATCTACTTTAAATAGAGAAAAATTGAGACATTAATGAATGGCCAATGACCCTTCAGAATGCTGCTGGGGTTCTAACCGGTAGGGGACTTATGGATTGCTTGCAATAATAATTGGCTTGTTTTAGTATGTTTCCAAATAAAAATAATGTTTGTTGTTTGTGTTTTTTTAATTTTATGTAACGTTAGCTTTAATCTAAGTATCATAATTATTTAAACAAAGGGTCCATTTTTTTAAAACCCAAAAACCAAAAAAAAAGCATTCTTTGTGCAAATTTTATTACTTTTTTGGGCAAAGAAGGTGTACACTTTGTTACTTGGAAATTCAGTTTTACATAAAAATTTTAATGGGACAAGACAAGCTATGGGTTTTTAAATGATTACTTGTGAAAACTTTACGGGGTTGGGTGGGAAAAACTTTTGCTCTTTTTAAAAAACACTGGGGTAAAAAGGGCTTTTTTTAATCTCTAAAAAGTGGGGTTTTAGGTTAAATTTTAAATTTTTAAAAATTTAAAGGGGCTTCCCTTACATCTTGTATTTTTGTTTTAAAACAAATTTTCTAGCCCCTTTTTTTCATCGCTTTTTTTTAAAAAAATTCTGGTGTTTTTTAAAAAAATTTCCCCAAATTTTTTAAAAATTCGAAGGGTTTTGGGCCTGTTTTTAATTTTCTGGTCTTTAACTCCTTGCATATCCAATTACCTAATTATAATGCAAATTGCAAACATAAAGCCCCGGCTTATAAATGTATGCCCGATTTATCAAAATGTTACTGAGTTCTTGTGATAACTCTGACGTTGTATGATAACTTGTAACAAAACGTTAATACGTTCGAATTCGCAAATAATATGGAAATTTAACTAAATACTACCAGATTTTAAACATGAGGCGATGAAAAATGGACTATGAATTAGTTTTTGACACCTAATATAAAATGAAAGGCAAGCTTAATATCTCCCCTGGAAATATCAAGTACTTCACACGCGACTCCGGAGAAATTGCAGCTCTGTAACACCGCAAAACGTCCTTACCGCAAAACGGACGTTTTGCAGTGCATATCGTACTTGGTACGTTTTGCGGCGAGTCTGTGTCTTTGTGTCGCATATCGTCCATATTTTCTGTATTAAAATATATTCATCACAAACGTTACTTTTATTGGCTCTGTCACTTTCATATTGTTTCAGGTAAAGATATGACGAATTAAACACTGAATATTTTTGTGACTCTATATAATTCTGACTTTTTTATTTAAAAAAAAGAAATATGCTTAAGCCGAGAATGCTTTCCGAATAATTTTTTTTATGGAATGGAACCAAGCAGCAGCAGCAGCAGCAGAGATATAAAAACGATGATATATTGAAATAAATGTAATCTTATAGACATACAGGAAAGGACGGCTATACGGACATACGAACCGGGGATTGGACTGAGTGAATGACAAAAAATATCAAAATTAAGCTTTGCTTTTGACAAAAGCTTTTCATATAATTGCATCAAGAAGTGGGAATGATTTTTTGTGTTCTTGTTGACTATGGAGGTTTGGTTCTACCGTTCATTTTTACGGATGGATGGGGGCTTTTGACAGCGTAAACATATTTGAGCAAGAGAGCTAATTTTATAATTGAACAATGTTATTTTATATATTTTATTTTTATTTTTAACTGAACAAAGAAAAAAGGTCATGGTGGCCTTATATTGGCCACCTGCCTATAAAGGCTCCCCATGACAAAGGCAGATAGCAATGAATATTACAAATAAAAAGCAAGTACATTTCAATGTACTTTGGTCAAATCTCTGGGTAACTGATATCAGTACTCAATTGTACGTCTGAAATGGTCATCAATATCCAAATTATCTGTAAACGACAAAGGTATGGTAATTTAGCGCAAAATTCAATAGTGAGCCTTGAGGTCAAGGTCATTTTCAAGGTCGATAATTTAGTTGAACTATTCAAGATGTCGCTGTCATTAAATTCATGAAATGACATCTGATCATTGATAAACAAAAGAAATGGCAGTTTTATCACAATTCAATAATTTGACTTTAAAATAATGTTTTTTATTTTTATTATTCAAAGGCAAATAACTCTTGAATATTCCAGTCGTGTTAGGTCATAAATGAACTTATCGCGAACTTATTGTTATAGAATATTCTGTATAAAAATTTTTAAGAGTGGAGAAGAAACGAAAGCACTAACAAGGTGAAATATAGTGCGTTATTTATTTATTTATTTATTTTTTTTGTGTTAGATTTAGCCTATAATCTAACTTTGTTGAGATTTTATTGTCATATATATTCTGTTGAAAATTGTCAAGATTGAAGAAGAAATGAAAGCGTTGGAGTGGTAACAATGTGAAATATAACAGATATTGTAATTCAAGGGCAGATAACTCTGGACATATTGCTTAGGGTATGGGGATGCTAGAGTGGTAACAAGCTAAATTTGGACGGACAGACAGACGCATACTCAGGTGAGCTAAAATTAACACACAATAACACTTGATAATAACTGGTCAAAATTAACGAAAATTATATAAACTTTAAAATATGGACGTTATGCGGCAGGACCATGCCTTTTTGCCGCAAAATGTACGTCAGAAAAATGTGGACAATATTCTGTGACAAGACTGTTTAAAAGCTAACTAAAGTAGGTACGAATTTGATATTTTAATATGTTATAAACCCATATAATTGAAACATTTTAACAAACTTACATAGAAAAATATCAAGAAACAACAAACATATGCCGTAAATACCATGGCAACTATCTGAATCGCGGCGCACGTCAAACGTCTAAGACGGCGTTAAATCTGTATAATGCGCCTTTTTCAAATACTCTAAATGGCTTTCAACGCAATAATGATGCAGTTTTACCCATAAATCGTCAATTACAGACTTAAATAATGTGGTTGTTAAAGTCTGTTAAATGTTTGGATGGCATACATTAATTTTTGCTACACGCAAACATTCGGTCTTGTTGCACCTGCTTTTAGCTGTAAGGAATAGGCGACGGAGATCGGTCTTCCTATTCATGC